TTTTTGTATTTACAGTTAGAATATCTATAAATTAATTATTTTATAATTTAAAATTAATTTATTTTTCAAATGATTTTAAAGTTAGAAGTATATTCTTCATATTGGTTAATATATTTAAAAAAAATTAATTTTCTTAAATATTAATTCAAAACTTAAGTAGGAATTCATTCAATGTTAATGTGGTTATTTATGATGCTAAATAGTTCTACTAAAAAAAATCTGGTAAGCAAATTTTCAGTGATATTTGAATTAATTATTTAGTTATAATTAATAATTAATAATAAATATCTAACAACTAATAATAATTATTATATTTATATTTTTAACATTATTTCATTAGTGTTTTTGAAACTCTAAAATGAACTACTCTTTTACATGGGAGTGACTTGTTGGCTGCGTGAAAACAGAAAAAAGAAAGAACCAAAAAAAGTTATTCGTTGGCAACAAACGAGTTACTAATCTGAATATGATCGATTTCTCAGGTCAGGAATCAGGAATCAGGATGCACTTGCGTGAAGCGCTACCAAGGATGCATATGCTCCGTCAGTGATCTTCATCAACATATCATGCGGTCCCTTCTCGGCAATCACTCCATTCTTCACCACCGCAATGATATCAGCTCCTCTGATGGTGGCAAGGCGGTGAGCCACCACCACAGTTGTTCTGTTAACCGTGACTTTGTCTAGTGCTGTCTGCACCACACGCTCTGACTCTGCATCCAGCGCACTGGTTGCCTCGTCAAGCAATAGGATACTTGGGTCCTTGATTATGGCTCTGGCAATGGCTATCCGCTGCTTTTGGCCGCCAGACAACTGCACCCCACGTTCACCAACGTTGGTGTCGTAGCCCTGAGGTAACGAGCTGATGAAGTTATGTGCATTTGCTGCTATTGTTGCTGCAATGATCTCTTCCTCTGTGGTTTCTCCCTGTTTACCGTAGGCAATGTTTGCTCGGATGCTTTCATTGAAGAGAATCGGCTCTTGGCCAACCAACCCTATCTGTTGCCTCAACCAGTTTATCTTTAGCTTGCGGATATCAACTCCGTCCAACAACACACAGCCAGAATCAGGATCATAAAACCTCTCGATCAGGCTGATCACTGTCGACTTTCCGCAACCACTTTCTCCAACAAGTGCTACGGTCTGAATAAAAAAGAATAAAAGAATGAAAACGTAACCAACCTATCATATGAAAAACAAGATTTTAAGGAGAGGACCAGAGGAGCATACCTGCCCGGCAGGGATGCTCAAGCACAAGTCTTTGAATATTTCAATATCTGGCCTTGTTGGGTATTTGAAACTGACATGCTCAAGTTTAATGCTACCAGTCACAGAGGATGGAATCAGGCCGTCACTGCTACTGGAATCAATCTTGGGTTTGCTATCTAGAATTGCAAATATGGACGCAGTTGCATCCTTGGCTTTGTTGGTGTCAGGAGCCAAGGCACTTGATTGTGAAATGCCAACAGCCGAAATCGTCAATGCAAAGAACACCTAAGATAAGAAAAAAAAATAAAAATGAAAACAGAAATTCTCAGATTCATTCCATTTAAGAGAGAAAAAGAAATGGAAATGAGTTTTTTGCTTTGAGTTTACCCTAAACACTTGTGGAAACGTTGCTAACCCTTTCTGCACGAGTAACGCTCCAATGTAAAAACACAAGGCGTTTGTACAGTACAAAGCAAAGAAGGAGAAACCAAAGCCACTGCCACTAACAATTCCTAATCTGATTCCATGTTTCATGGGGGCATCACATTTCTTCTGGTACAAATCCATCACTTTCTTCTCCGAACAGAAGGATGCAATTGTTCTGATGCTTCCTACGGCATCATTGGCAACTTCACTCGCCTCTTCATACATCAACTGCACATTAGTTAGACACAGTTAATACAATTAGCACACAATTCCCCTGCTTAAGATTTAGATAGTCCTGTGGTTATTAAGAAAGGCTAACCTTTGCATCTGCACTAAACCCTTCTCTAAATCTTGCCTGAAGAAATCCTTGAACAAAAAAAAGTGGTGAAACTGCCAGAATTACTAAAGTCAATATCCAGTTTGCAGTGAATGCGATTATTAATCCAGCAAAGACAGTAGCTATGTTCTGGACAATCAGGGCCATGGTATCACCAACAAGACATTTCACCAGAGAAGCATCGGTAGATAACCTTGCACAGATGGCACCACTGCCAGAAATTTCAAAAGAAAATCATAATTAGAGTTGCATGAATTTCTAGCGCTGGAAGTTAGAAGATGCTTAAGCATGAGTCTAACAGACCTTGAATTTGCAGGATCATCAAACCAACGGATTTCTTGGTGGACAACCTTCTGGAATGTCAAGGATCGGATTCTCTCAATCAATTTTCCACCAGCAATGCCGAAAAAGTAATTTTGGAGGGGTGCAGCTACAAGATTAATCAAGCCCATTCCCAAGAACAAGAGTGCCCACTTCTTTGAATCTTGTAGAAGCATCTTCGGTGGTTCAAAGAAGGATTTAATGGCGGATGAGTATAAGAGACCATATATGGGGAAGATCAATCCATGTATGGCTGCAGCAATGGAACCTACTAAAAGTATCAGTAACTCTGGCTTGTTCAGGTATGCCAGCCTTCTCATGGAAACCGCCTTGCTCTTTTCGGTGTCTGCTTTGATACTAGGATGGTTGTCCTCACTTTCTTCTTCAGTTGGCCTCATGCCATCCAGACTCGGAAAACCAAAGCTTAGATGGAAGGAGCTGTGTCTGCTTGATGAATTTCTGCTTCCCGATCTGAGATTCGAACCCAGGCTGAGAGACCTGGGCATTAACTTATCTGCATCGGAAGCAATTCCCACGTGAGCATCTGTAGCTTCTTTTGCTCCCTCTTGCAGACGAATTAGTTGTGAATATGCACCTTCGAGGTCTCTGACCAATTCATCATGAGTTCCTAGAGACCAACACTTTGATATCATACAAAGGTGGAAAATTCAAGAAATTCATTATGGAAAAAGTGCTCTAAAGATTGCTACCTTGCTCCACAAGTTTCCCTTGGTGCACCACTGCAATAATGTCTGCATTCCTGATGGTGGTCAGACGATGTGCCACCACCACAGTCGTTCTGTCCATCATGATTTTTTCCAATGCATCTTGAACAATCCGTTCAGATTCAGCATCCAGTGCGCTTGTAGCCTCATCCAGGAGGAGGATTTTTGGGTTCTTTATAATGGCTCTAGCAATTGCAAGTCTTTGCTTCTGTCCTCCAGAAAGCTGAGTTCCGCTCAGCATTGTATCCAGCCCCTGCAGCCAAAACCAGATTTAGGATTGATGGTTTAGACAATGGGAGTAGCATTGTGGCGTCTATGGTTATGTTTACCTGAGGCAACTTGTCAATGAACTTTGCAGCATTAGCAAGTTCAATTGCTGTTCTAATCTCCTGATCAGTTGCATTTTCCTTGCCATATGCTATGTTTTCCCTAATGGTAGTTGCAAACAGAGTAGGCTCCTGACCAACTAGCCCAACTTGTTCCCTTAGCCATCTGAGCTGCAATTTTTTCAAATCAACCCCATCCACAAGTACTTCCCCAGAATCAGGATCATAGAATCTCTCAACCAGGCTAATAACTGTTGATTTCCCACTTCCACTCTGCCCCACCAGCGCTGCAGTTTTGCCACTAGGAATATGTATTGAGAAACCAGAAAATATCTCCACATCAGGTCTGGCAGGGTACCTGAAAAACACATTCTTGAGTTCAATGTCACCCCGGAAGTCTTCTAGCACTATTCCAGAAGTGTCATAAGGATCAATTGTTGGTTTTCTTTTGATTGTCTCAAACATCTTATAAGCTGCTGCCTGTCCAGATGCAAATGCGTTCATACAAGGAGACGCCTGACTGATAGACCTGTGCAGATCACAAGAAATGCCTTAAGAGATGAAAATGAAGAAGAACAGATAAACACAACCACAACTGGAAACCAGAATTGTAGCCAAACTTACAATCCACCAATCATTAATGCCATGATGACATTGATGACTTGCCCACCACTGTATCCTTTTTCAACAATTAGTTTGGATCCATACCATGTGGCAAGTGAATAGCCACCAAAGATAACAAACAGCATTACACCAAGTTGTAAACCTGAGGCTAGTCCTTGGTGGACAGTAGCCTTGTAGGCAATCTGTAGCTTACTGTTGTATTTTTCTATTGCCCGCTTCTCCCCCGTGAAGGATGCAACCTAGAACAGTTATGAACATATATAGTCAAGTTGGGATTTTTGAAGGAATGTACTAATGCATGTCACGATAATCTTTTTCCTTTTTTGCCTTACCGTTCGAATGGCTGAAACTGTTTGTTCTACTGCACCTCCAGCTGCTGCATTTGCAAGCTGTCCGCGGCTTGAAAATTTTGCCATCATCAGTGCCGAGGCACCTCCTGCCACGACAATGCAAGGAAGAAAAGTAGATACGACTAGTGCGAGAAGCCATCCTCTTGCATAAGCAATTACAATGCCACCAACAAATGTTGAGACAACTTGCATAAATTTTCCAACCTGTCATAGCCTAATCTATTAAGGATGCCCACTCTTACGTGATTTCAGATTAAAGAACAGAGAAAGTGATGTTAATTACCTTCTCCCCCATTGCATCTTGAATGAGAACTGTATCCCCTGACATTCTTCCAATCACTTCTCCCGTGGTCGTATCAGTGTCAAAGTAACCAATGTCCTGTCTCAATATGGTTTTCAAGTACAAAGCACGGATGCGATTGGCCTGTCTTTCTCCAGTCACCATCCAACACGCCACCTCTGTAATTTACAAGTAGCAAGAACTGAACATCTCATATCTAAAATGATAAGCAGGAACGAATACAGTAAAAATGGGACACAATCAACATTTACCACAGTATATATTGGAACCATAACAAACATGCCATGATGCAGTGCTAAAGTTTCAATCATTTACTTTAAAACATCAATTGAAGGTCAAGTTAAGGGTTCGAACATCTACAATAACTAAGCATACAACTAATAATAAATTACGTAGCATATACACTTACGAAGGAATGCGGCTATGGCGGCATAAATTGCCAAGTAAGCAAATAGTAGGATAACCTGAAATCCAAAAAAGCAAAAATTCCATCAAGTTCTAATACAAAGCATGAGAAATAAATGGAAATTTAAAACAGCCAAAAGAAACCAAGATCACTATCTTATATTGAATCTTTTGCCATTAATTTGATCTAAATTTGGAAGAGGAAAACCCAAGATTGAAAAAAATAATTCTTTTTGAAAAACATTACTTCAACGCTAAAAATCGTTAGAAATTCAGTTGGAATGTCTGTACCAGATTGATGCTTCAACATCAAATCACAAAACATAATTAAGGGAAAAAAAAAATGAAGAAGCTAAAGATCGATCCTTAAATTGGGATACGATGTGGGTTTAATTTCTTTACCTTCGAAACCTCCTGAACTGCATGGGACGGATCCAAGGACGCAAAGGAGTTAATGAGCCGGCCGAAGATGACAGTCATGAACGGTTGTGAAAGGCCGTTGGCCACGGCGGCGATGGATCCCACCGTCATGAGAACGATGTCTTGATTATCCGCGAAAGAGAACAGCTTATAAAACGGCACCTTCTGCTCATTCCTTTTCTTCCTCTTCCCATCTCCACCGTCCTCCTTCATCATTTTTCACTGCAATCTAAACAAAAAAAAAAAAAAAAAAAAATCTTAGAAGCATTACGTTGAACACATAGTAAACGTATATATATAGAAAGGTATCATGAAGGAGAAGCGGCAAGAAGGAGGAAAAATACCAGAGGAAGAATGTATTTCGTAATTATTGAACCCCTTTTCTGGGTTAGATTTATAGAGACGTATCCTGGTTGATGTTATCTATATTTAGGAGAAATTGTCGGACAGATTGCATATATATTTTTAAGCCTTTTTACAAGTACAGGTTTTGCTGGTATAAGGATTTCCTTCCAATTGTTTCTAGTAGGATTTTGGTTTTTTCAGCTTTATTCCCTTAAATATTCTACTTTACTTCTAGAAGGATTTTTTTTCCTTCTAGAAGGATTTTCTCTTTTGTTTTTTTGTTAAATGTTAATTTTGGTTCCT